TGACATATCTGCTGACCTGCAATATTATACATTAGGCTTAACATGTTTCAAGCCCATTTTCAATACAAGTATATTAACATGTAGCACTAGTTGCATTCATTCAGGCTGATGGATGAGAACCGTCCATTTCATAGCTTGTAACACCACTGAAAACAGTAGGCTACACAGCTGATATCTGGTCATAGCTACACATCCAGGCAATAACATATTATTATTTTCGATTATAGGGTAAAGACACAAAAGTCCCACTGAAGAAATTCCGGCCAAAAAATCTATTGGACTTAGACTAATTGTCTTAGCAAATGTGCTGTAATTTCAAAAGAAATGCCAGGCAGTATTGTACAGGTGCTTGTCAAAGGAATAAAATCAAAGAATTTAGAAACTGGCTTTAGAAGTCACCAAACTTTGATAGAGATTTTGTGGCTAGTTTTACCTCTCACATCATGCTACCCCTACCTCCTTCAATGCCATATATCTCAACTTCTATTCAAGATAGATGGGTATTTTTTTTTAGATTAATGCAAGACAGATGAACAACGTTTAAGACGATATTAATAACTCTATATGCCCAAATGTTGACGAGCGCCTAATTCCACCACGTCTCGATACAAATGGTGTAACCTTTCATACCAATAAGTCAACCATCTCCATATTTTCAAAATCAAACGTTGAAAGGCAAGGCTTTTGGCATGAATAAACAACCCATTGTTCTTTCACTCCACTCCCTTTCTGTGCAATATGCACAGCTGTGGTATCTTTGGTACTGAGCAGTTGTTGGACTTGGCAAACAATCCATCTCGCACTCATTCGGTGCCATCATTGTCACACTCCTAACACAGACCAGCAATGACTCTGAGACCATAACATTAAAACGGAGGAGGGAACGTCAGGATGAATTTAAGATATATATTGTCTATCCTTTCCGTTACAACACATTCACAAACAGATTTCTTTCACCCGATATAATACATTAAATAAAACGACAAACATCATAATTATAGAGATGCCTATCTTTAAGTACTTAAATGTTATCAATCATTATTTTGAGTATGTGACGCACGTACCTCAAATTTAACCATTTAAACCCAAACATGCATTTACCTGTGACTGGTACGAGAGGTACACTAAAACATCGCTTGTCCCCAAGCCTGTTTAGAAATCAAATGGAAAAATCATATCAAATCCAATTACAAAGACACCTTGGCAGGATATTCAAAATAGAGGTAAAAACTCAAACCCTTTGAACCCTGGTCCCTTAAACCCAACAGGACCTGTGCTCCTGTGCTTCTTTGTGTCAACTGTTAGATTTTTACCGCAGCAGAAGGGTGAAAGTATAGTACGCTCAGATTTAAATCACAGTTTTGTAGATAAGAAAATAAATTATGTATTATCTTTCTATTACGAGCATAAACCTTCATTAATTTAAAATTCTCCAATAAAAAAGTTCATTACATGGTTTCCACCTTTCTGCACTTGAGATTTTCAATGCAGTTGCACAACAACAAAAAATTGATATGCCAATCTTATATTCTCACAGTTACGTGAGTCTTCACCTAGCCAGCAGACTATATTTTACTGTTATAATTTCCTTGATCAATCATTTCCATACCCTGCTTGAAAGCATGTAGGAGTAGTATCATTTGGAATGATGAGCACTTCTGTCTGACACGCTCCAAATGACGTCACTGTGGTGTTGAAAAGATACACGTCTTTCCTGGAAGTCGTCAGGTCAGAACTGTGAGACAGAAAACCTCAGTAAAAGACCTTGCTCCAGATTAAATGACGTCATTGTAACACTCTTCATCTCCATCACAGACGATGTTTGATTCTCACTTGAAGATGATAATCTATTGAGTTCATCATTTTTTTGGACAGAAGAAAGTCCCCTAACACTATGGTTGGCCCTAGTGGAAAGGGCTGGAGAAGCCTACTTTTTCAATTAATTAATTATGGGAGCTATATCTATGTGGATGTTAAACGTTTACAACGATTTTGCAACAACAACAAAATCTTGATCCGGCAAGCTGGAATGGCTGGCAAGTTATGACTATCCTTACATTAACTCCCCAAGGGCAATCCAGCAACATAACTTAAATAAAAGCATGAAAAGGACTGCGGCTAGATACTGAAGAAGTTAAAAAAACAAAAAAAGTTTTGTTTCTACAAATGCAAAAAAGCTTTTAAAAATTCAATGATTTTGAGCAAAAATCAGTACAGCCTTTATAATAAATGTGTCACACTGATGAAACTATCGTCAAAAGTGCAGAATAGTGTATTATCTATTTATTTGTCACATCATTAATTCATTACCCTTTTACCTGTTCATCTTTACAAGGTAAGGCCAAAGAATTTACCAATACCTCTGCTCTATTTCCTTTTGGAAATCATTTCTATGAGAATGCAGTGTGTAAAATCTGGATTAAATCACATTTAAAATTTTGAAATAGTCTTCTTAAAAAGAATAATGTTTATACATCTCACAGGGAGAAATGTGTTTTGGTCATTCGTTTACAATAGCAGCGCATTTCAAAGATTATGTGCACTCATGTATACACACAACATAAAAGACATTAATGGTTAATGCTGAAACACCTACGCTCGATAAACATTCACTTTCTTTTCTCTCCTTCTCCACATTATTTGTAGCACTGTGTGTTCAATAACCTCACTGCATTTACTATAAAAATGAAATTCTTTTTCTGTCTGTTCTTACTTTCTCCAAAATAATTCGTTTACTGTTGATTGATAACTGACATTCTGATCTCCACAGGTAGCTATGCTACCAATATGACAAAGAGCAGCAAAGATGCATAATAGATAGCATTTGTATAGCGCATATCCCCGCTCGAAAAGCAGACTCTATGCGCTTTACACTACATTATTACCCCAGCAGACCATAGAACACTCCGAAACATTCTCAGCTTCCCGGGAAGCATACAGTGCAAGCAGCTGATTAAGCGCTCAAACACTAACAAACTGACAAGATCTTTCGCTGTCTATAGCCGGGTACCCATTCCCACCTGGGTGAAGTGAGGAAATTCGTATAAGTGCCTTTCCCAAGGACACAACGTCGGGCCCTTGACGGGATTCGAACCCACGACCTTACGGTTTAACAAATAACAAACTGAGAAACACGATATAAATTCAGAGGGTAAGAACTGCACCCCCAGATGCAATCTGTATTTAAAAAATGGAGGATAACAAGACAGTTTCTGTCAATTACCAGTTTCCAGAAGGATCTTGAGTTGTAGCCACAACCAAATGACATCCTGAAGGGTCAGCACAGGGTAACTTGCTTCCATCAGGTGGAGTTGGGTACAAGAATTTAGTCTGTTTAAATGTAAATTCATTACAGGGTGAGTTAAAAATTATGTTAACACTATCTGGGCAACACCAAACAGATAAGGTGTTGACCTCATTACACAGAATCTAAGTGACGAATTTCTCTGACTTTTAGAATGCGCCTATGAATTCTAAAACTAAAATTCCTAACATATCTTGATTTTTGAGCATACGTGACAAATATTAAAGAGGTGTTGTCTATATAGTCCCAGTGCAGGTCATAGGCAGACCCTTTCCCTCCCCTTCCTTCCTACATATATACATTTTTGAGCAACCTAAATAAATGCAAGTATCATTAATGGAAGTATAATATGCGTCTTTATCATTATCATCTATTATTATTTTTCTCAGTGAGAGCAAGATGTTCAAGGCCTCTATGTCAGTTCCAGTGTCCAAGAAACTGCATTTGTCTTTCTCATGATTGTATTTATGAGAGGAGGCCATGCGAGCTTCTTTCAGCAATACCTCAATTGATTTCTTTCCCTTCCACGAAATTTTTAACAGA